CACGTGACCCGGGGCCCCGCCGCCCGCTTTATAAGTCTCTCCGCGCACCGGGCGCCGCGGGCTGCGACCCTTATCCGCGACCTCCTCTCCCGGCGAGCCCGCGGGCGGGCGGGCGCCCCTGGATAGGTGCGTGCGGCGCGGCGGAGCGGCCGGGGGGCCGAGGTGGAAGGGGCAGCGGCCGGGGTGCGGCCGGGAGTGTCGAGGGTGGGATGTCGAGGGCCGGGCGCCCCCCACCCCGCAGCCTCCCCTCCCGGAAGTGGGGCAGACGGCCTTGATCGCGAGCTGCGGCACCCACCCCGACCCTCGGGCCTCGGCGTACTCCCCGACCCCAGCCCCGGGCCGGGGCCGGCACCCCTGACCCCAGTGGGCTCGTCTGTGGTTCCCTCCATCCGGTAGGAGCCCAGTAACTTGTCCTGCCGCCCCGCTAGCCTCTGCTTCCTGCGAACGGGCGGAGTCTGCAAAACTTTTGGACTGGACGGGACCAGCACTTCAGGGTTTATGCGGAGGAGCACTTGGCGGGTGGGGAGCTCAGAGGGCTCTGCAACGCTCGGGCGACCTAACACCTGGCTGCCCCTGATCGCAGCCCTCGCTTCCTCCGTGGGTGCCCTTGCCAGTCCATCCCCGTGGTACTGCGGTGTGGGCTGCCCTGTCCGGCTGAATCCCCAAGGGACTAGGGAGTTTTCCTGCACGAGCTGGTGATGGATGTGAGCATAGCCTTCCTTCTGACGGGCCCTTCCAGACCTGCCGTGTCGCTTGGAAATGAACTTGATGGTGATTCCTCCTCTCCGACCCCTTTTTTCTTCTAGGAAAGTCTGCCTGACTCTGGTGACTGATGCCCAGATTGGACGAGAACTTCTGGAGCTGTTCCTGTGCTGACCGCCTGAGGCACAGAAGCCACCCGAGAGCCGGTGCCGGAGGGCTGGCGGCCAAAGTGGGGGAAATGATCAACTCCTCCGCGTCCGGCCCCTCTCGGCTGATGGCCCCCCGTGCCCTGGACACTGACGCCTCTCGTGGGCTGCGGAGCGCTGGTGTGGGGGGCCGTGGTGGCAGCAGCGGCCACACTAACAGCTGGCATCACCACTTGGTGCAGAGGAGCCTGGTGCTTTTCTCGGTCGGGGTGGTCCTAGCCCTGGTGCTCAACCTGCTGCAGGTCCAGAGGAATGTCACCCTATTCCCTGAGGAAGTGATTGCCACCATCTTCTCCTCAGCCTGGTGGGTTCCTCCCTGTTGTGGCACAGCAGCTGGTGAGTAGAAAGAAAAGATGGCTGTTTGGTTAAAAACGCTCTTCAGCCTATGAGAAACATTTGTTTGAAAATGGAACATCCACAGAGGACAAGTGTGCGTCTCCAGTCCTTATATTTAGTGGGGAAGGGGGTGGAGAGGATATTGAACCCCCGGATGCTAGTCTCTGGAGCTTGGAGAAAGCTCAGTGATGGAGATGAGGTGGGGAGATAATTGGCTGTTCCAGGCTTGTGCCAGGCTGCCGAGGCCCTTCCCTCTTACTGACCTGGCACTGGGGACAGTGTTAGGGGAGCCCCACAGCTGTCATCCCGAGCGAGTGGCCCCCGGATTGGCCACCTGCAGAACTGGTGAGCTGCGGGACTGCACTACTATTGGTTGCCCGCGAGAACATGCTACGCTGCTGGGTGACTGAAAACAAACCTGTCACGTGGGCACAGTGGGCAGAGGCGTTGCCAGGGAGCAGCCTCTCCCACTTCCTTTTGCAGGATGGCCAAGTGGACGTGGCCAAAGCCAGACCTTTCCCCCAGAGCTGCTGAGGAAACAGTAACCCCTCGTTCAGGGTTTACCCCTCGTTCAGGGTTTAGGTGTGAGTTCCCGTAACTAGTCACAGAGATGCCGCAAAACATGACTCTGGGTCAGTCTAAACTGTGGGCAGGTGGACTGCCTGTTTTTAGTAGAATTTCTTGGTTATTTAGCTGGTTTTATTAAAACGCTGAATTGCTCTTGGCCTAGAAGATCACTTAGTGCTGCTCTAGTCACACGTCATTCATGGATTAACACACGTGTCCACTGCTCCTGCAGCCTCAAGTCCACCAGCTGCTGAAGCGCAGGGGGAGTGGGCCAGAGGGCAGAGCAGGCGTGTGTGGGTGATGGCAGGGTCGCAGGAGTGCCCTGCCGTTGGCTCTGTGGCTGACATGTGTGCACTGTGATGCCCACGGCGCGTTTTATGCGCTTTGCTTCCTTTCGTCCCTGCAGCACTGCTCTGCTGCAGCTCCAGTTTACAGATGGGGATCACAGGGAGACTGAGTGCCTGTGTCCAAGGGGCCGCAGCCAGTAAGTGGCAGGGCCACTGTTCATAGCTCTGCACACAGCCTCCCTGGAGTCTGGGTGTCTACCCTATGCTGTGGAAACACGTCACCTTCTCGGCAGACTCACTGAAAACAGCAGGAAGGCGTGAGGCTTGTGATGGAGAGCCTGGTTCCAGCTAGGACAGTCATCAGAGCCATACTGTAGATAGGGAGCAGTGGATAGACTTTTCATCTTTGTTCTCAGAAAGATAGGGTCCTACTTTGTTCTTTTAAACACTTTAAATATCTGGCTATACTATTAAAAATCCTTTTTGAGAAATAGATCTAGATGCAAAATTCCATTTTTCATACACATTTGGCGCAGTAGTTTCTTTCTTTGAATCAAAAACTTGATCTTAAAAATGGAACAGTTTAGGCTTTATTTGTAATTGAAGCTTCAAGGAATTCCAGGAATATCTGAAACACAATTTTTCGTACCCTACTCTTTTTTTTTTTTTTTTTACCATCAGCCAAGAGCATAAGGGAAAAATTCCATAGTGCCTTTTCACCTATTTAGCTTTTCACCTTAAAAGGTAAGATTAAGTTATAGTGAAGTAAATTATAGAGCTGTTTGGGTTCCATTTTAGAGTTAGAACTTGATAAAATGTAATATGAAATTGAAACTGAAAATCTTTCATTTGAATGTTTAGCTAAAACTGTGTTTCTTGTTTCTCTGTTCAAGAACCTAAAATGGTGACGTCTTTCATAGAACATCTGGGTGGGGCAACTGTGTGGCTTTCCAGCCTCGGTACCTGGGGACTTTATGTGGTGAACCTTGGGTCCCGGGGTCGGTACTGTGGGTCCGTATCCCCACTAGTCACCACATGCCCTGTTCTTCCTGCCTGTTCCTTTTCCATTTTCTTCTCTCCTGAAATGCCACACCTTCCCCCCTGTGTTTGTGAAAACTTCCTAACTGTGTTCCTGTGTTCCAGACCACAGGGAGCTGCTCCTCTGGCTTGTAGTTACATAATCCTCATCACTTTACACATGAGGAAACAAACATGAGGAGTTGGATCCCATCAGGGCCGGCAGGGAGCAGAGGCCCTGTGTTCTGTGCCTGGTCCCCTGGTCTTCCCACAGTTCAGGGCCTGGGCTCCCAGGAACAGGTGAAGAACAGAAGCAGTGTGGTGGTCTGTTGGAAGCACCCGCCCCCAGGGATGATGCAGAACGCATGCTCAGGGTCTACACGGTGCTGTACCTCTGAGTGTGTGGCCCTTATGACCCAGACATCAAAGTCAGATCAACATAAACATGCCCAACATCCGGTGCAGGTCGGTGGGAGGAATGTCAGACCTTGTGATGGGACTTGTGGCCTCAGGGGTATTCTCGGAAGTTACCTGTTCATGGTGAAATGGAAATAACACTGAGGGAGTAGAAGGCCAACTCTGCAGGCCTTTTTGTGTCCTGCACTTGAGGCCTGTGTGGACAATTAAGCTCTTGCTCAGTCCACTTCTATGTTTAACTAAACCGAGGAACAGCAATTTTATTTTAATCTTCTCAAAACAGTATGATTTTTTTGTTTATTACTCAAGGAAAACAAAAATATAAAATTAGTCTCAATTTAGATATTATGTTATAGCAGATACATATTCTAGGAAAAGGACTGGTTTGAGCATGATACTAATAATTGCTGTATAGAAATCCTATCAGTTTAAGCTGGTATATTCGAATACTGTCATCTTTTCTTTCCTTAACAGCTGTCGTCGGCTTACTCTACCCCTGCATCGACAGTCACCTCGGAGAGCCCCACAAGTTCAAGAGGGAGTGGGCCAGTGTCATGCGCTGTGTAGCCGTGTTTGTGGGTATCAACCACGCCAGTGCTGTATCCTTCGCTGGATGTGCTGTGTCCAAAGCGTTGTCTTAGGTTATGTGTTGAGGTGTTTTGTTACTTTTAATGAGTAAATGTTATCTCATAGGTTCCTTGAGCAATCTTCTTCCGTCTATGTTATTTTAAAGTGCATTGCTTAGTTTACACGTAGTGGGAGTTTTTGAAATGGTTCCTAGAGTCCTTCCAGTTCATTTCAGGAAACAGAATAATACCAGAAGCACAGTGCACTCATTTAGTCTCTTCTTTGTCAGATAGGATCGTTTTGATTCCTCGGAGTTCACCTTGTAAATTCCCTTTTCTCTTTCTACCTTACATCCTTCCGTTGGGAAGACCTGGTTCCTGTGGCCCAGAAGTGGCGAGAGGTGAGAGGGTCGCTCTTCTTGGAGCTGCTTCTCCTAGAAGGGTCAGTCCAAAGTGGTGTCCTCTCGCACAGGTTCTTGACAGAAGCTCCCTGGACCTCTGGTGTCCACGGGTGGAATGCATTGCACTGGATGTGTTGTGTGTCTCTGCAGAAGTGCATTTTTCAGGAAGATGGGCCATAGTTTATAAAGTCTCAAAAGAGTAAGTTTCTTTAGCACAATGAAATCATATTTTAAAATCTGACAGAAAGATGTTTCTAGAGTTGCTGATTGTTGAGTCTGTTCTACTCCTGTTTAGTGATAAGAATGTCAGAAAGGGTATCAGAAGATCTCTCAGCTCTAACAAGTTCATTTTGTCAGCGGTTGATAAGCAGTGTTGTGATGAAAGCCGGCTGTGTCTGCACAAACTGTGATAGTATGTCATGGCGAATGCCATTCTGACGAGGTGTCTTCATGCAGACGTGGGAAGGAGTATGCTCGCTCAGTTCACATTATGAATGAAAACAAGAAATAAGAGCAAGACCGTAGATGACTCACTACCAAAATATGTTGTTTTTTGGTCGAAATACCAGCAGAATTTTATGGATGGCTTTTAGAAAGTTTGCTCGTAAAGTTGTTTTTGACCCCGTGATCAGGGAAGTTTCAGATCCTCTTGAAACTCTGGATACAGAGACCTTGTCTCCAGCCACTCCTGTCTGCAGCTCCCTGGGTGTGGGTTGTGCATGGAGAATTATGTGGTGCGCAAGAGTAACACACTGCAGCCCCTGGGCGTTTTTTTTTTGTTTTTGATCATATTAAAAAATCGTTAAACTTTTCCTTAACTTTTGCATCACCAGAAATTGGATTTTGCCAATAATGTTCAGCTCTCCTTGACGTTAGCAGCCCTCTCTTTGGGCCTGTGGTGGACGTTTGACCGTTCCAGAAGTGGCCTCGGACTTGGGATCACCATCGCCTTCCTCGCCACTCTGATCACTCAGCTGCTGGTCTACAATGGTGTCTATCAGTAAGCATGTCTCTCAAATATCGGCTCCATCCAGAAGCTGTTGCTTAACTTTCATTAAAAACACCCCCTGAGCTGAGATGTCATGTTTTCTTTGGCCTTCATATACACATGGCGTAGATGCAGGCATGAGATTCTCAAAAATGCTGCTTATCGTTGATTTACATGTTAAAAACGCACCAGCCGTGATTTAACGTAGAGGAAGACCACGCAGCAGCAGTCAAACATCGCCCTCAGCTGTTAATCCCCCAGCACTCAGCGTACATCCTGTATCCCACTGCAGATCTCGCCCAGAGGGGAACTGGACTCGGGGAGGCTGACTCTCAGCCACCAGTTTCCTTCCTTCTCTCTTTCTCTAGGTATACGTCCCCAGATTTCCTCTACATCCGCTCCTGGCTCCCGTGCATATTCTTCTCAGGAGGTGTGACAGTGGGAAACATAGGACGCCAGCTGGCTATGGTACGTGAGGGCATCTTCACTCCTGATGCTGTGGTTATCAGCCTGAGAGAATCGCTTTACATAATACGTTGTAATTTGTGTCACTGTCTGTCTAGTTGAGGCTCACGAGCAACCATTATTGAGAAAAGTGTACATTAAAAAAAGTAGGTGACAGTACCCAGGTAGTTCTTTGCTAAGTTATAAAGATTTAGAGATTTGTAAACTCCGTGTCAGAGCTGGACAGGAATTAGCTAGAGCTCTGTGCAGCCACTCGGGCCACAGACGTGCTCAGTGGCTTCTCCGAACTCACATGCTGCTGTGGTCACTGGTGGAGAAAGGGTTCCTGAGATAGCGAAAATGAGTGGTTTACAGTGAGTCTCTTCCCTCTTTCACGGGGGTGCAGGCGATGTGGGAGAGGTAAATGGAGCTCGCGCCTGGTGGAGGGGCACAGCCCTTGCAGGGCAGGGGGACCTGGCGCAGGGCAGGCCGCTCAGCACCGCTGGGTGAGGGACTGAGCACTGCCCTGTCCTCTCTGAAAGAGAGAGAAGTGTGCACTCCCACGGCGTGGAGCTGGTTCCCGGGAGCCAGAGAGCAGACGAAGTCAAGGATAGTTTGAGCAGTTCTTTTCAGTAGTTAAATTTGAGCACTTTAATAAAAGAAAATTAGGGGCTGGCCCGGTGGCACAAGTGGTTGTGTGCGTGCTCCGCTGCGGCAGCCAGGGGTTCGCTGGGGTTCGCTGGTTCAGTTCCCGGGCGCGCACTGACGCACCACTTGGCAAGCCATGCTGTGGCGGCATCCCATATAAAGTGGAGGAGGACGGGCATGGATGTTAGCCCAGGGCCCATCTTCCTCACAAAAAAAATAATAATAAAAAAAAGAAAATTAAATGTGGACATTTAAATGTTATTTCTAGTTGGCTTTGACTTGATGGCTTAAATAAAATGAGCTACAAAAAGGAAATTGGAGTCTTACAAGGGCCGTTCATTGCTCTCAGATAAACTCAGGGGCTTTCTCAGAAAACTTATCTTGTTCCCTCATGCTATTTTTTTTTTTTTTATAATTTTATTTATTTATTTTTTTCCCCCTTATCCCCAGTAGATAGTTGTAGGTCATAGCTGCACATCCTTCTAGTTGCTGTATGTGGGACGTGGCCTCAGCATGGCTGGAGAAGCGGTGCATCAGTGCGCGCCCGTGATGTGAACCCGGGCCGCCAGCAGCGGAATGCGCGCACTTGACTGCCAAGCCACGGGGCCGGCCCTCCTCATGCTATTTTTAAAACAGGACATTACTTGTGCTAGGTGATGCTTACTTGTGAGAGCTGAATTTCAAGGCTGCTTGGCTGTCTCACAAAAATAGAAGTAGTTTCAGAAAGATAGAATTTAGAACGTGTTCCAGTGGTTCCTGAGTCTGTCATCCTTCTCTTCACCGCTTTGTAATTCTCTGTGGATCTGCCTCCATCCAAAACAACAAGACTCCACTGAGAAAACTTGGCTTCTCATGTCCCCTAACGAGAACCCGAGGACTGTGCTTTTTCATACTAACAGTCTGCTCAGACAGTTGCACATAGAACTCGGGGCTGCTTCCTCCCACAGGGCTCCTCCCCTCTGCCCGCCTCCTCACTTTTCCAGGGAGAACCAGGCAACCCCACGATTGCTTTGAGACTTTTATTTCAGTACCCTTTAGGTGAGAATTCCTAAGAAGGCTTTTGGGAAAAAATTTTCCTCAACCGGGGTGACTATTCATAAAATTAAAATTTGAACAACATTGAGTGCGTTAGTTAATTTTGGGGATGATGGGCTGATGCTGTTATGCGTTCACGTTGATGGTTTTTTTGAACCAGTGTTAGGAAACACTTTTTTTTAGCAGAAGTAGAAACTTCACAGTGTGCACAAGTTCTAAACATCTAGAAATAGTTGGAGGAAACTTATTTTAAAAGAGTTGCACAAATCATACCTTTTGAAAATAATACCTCTTGAAGATAGTTTGATTGTATAATTCTTGCTGTGCTCCTTAGATCCTTATAGTAAAAATTTTAAAGATAACTTAAAACAGGACGGTTGGCATAATTGTAATTATCCTTACTTCAACTTTCTTTTCTTCCTTTTTACTCTTTAAAATTGGGGGAAAACTTATATTTGGACATTTTCGTTGTACCAGGGAACTGGAGGAGAGGGTCATCACCTTCCCTCTGAGGTCGTCCAAATGAAACACCTTCTCAGGTCTCTAAGCCCAGCCCCACCTCCTGTATTTTCCATCCATGAGAATTTGAATCCTTAACCCCTGGATCCCAGCTAGAGGGAGAATCAGACTTCTCAGGGGTGTGAAGCTTAGTTCACTTGAAGCAGGCAGGCCCTCCGCGGCCCAAGCAACAGTCACAGCTGGTTCCAGCAGTTCCACCTCCCCTGCGTCCCCGGTGTGTGTTCACGGAATGGACTGGTGGCAGCAAGTGGCTGCAAGCTGCTCCGAGGGAAGAAGTGTGGTCCCTGTCCTCAAGACTTGCCAGCCCAGTAGAGAGCGCAGTGACATGTGTGAATACGTGTGAAACTATTGTCAGTTCTGTCCATAGCTGTATTTCTGCCCTGAGAAGTCAGGCGAGTGACTGAATGGAGTGTAGCTTCTATTATAACAACGTGAGTGAGTTTGCAAAGGCCTGAGAGCGACGAACCATGTTTTAAATAGTTTTAAAGGAGAGGTCAATCTGATTGGCAGAGAGAAGTGGGCGTGTAGCACTCACTCCTCTGTAGTAAGAACTTAACATGTGCTGGGAAATGGAGGCGAGTGGGATGTGGAAAGGAATTAAAAGTGGCTGTTTCTGGGAAGTAGAACTGCAGGTGGTTTTTAGGGTTTTTTTTCTACTCTGCATTTAAGAAAAATTTTTTATAATAAAAACATTACTTCTGTCATCAAAACACACCAGCTGTGTGTGGGAACTTGCTAGTGGTCACGTGTAGCGGATGATGTGTGTGCCATCGGTAGGAAGACTCACCCTGCAGGTGTTCTGAGACTGTTCTCCTGGAGGTCCCTGGGGGTCTCCCATCCTTCCCCCTCTGCCTTCGCCACAGCTAGGAACCTGGCTCTGCTTCTGACCTCCCTGTTCTCTGAACAACGCTGTCAGCTTACTGGGAGCAAAACTGGCGTTCCACTGTGGATGACGAGGGAAGTGGGATCAGTCCTCCCAGAGCTCGCAGACCCTCGTCCCTCCGTCCCCCCTCCCCTCCTTGGGTCTGTCCAGCTGGTCTCTTTGCTTTCGTTCCTCTTGTCTTCCATCCCTCAAAGTATCTGTAAATGAATCTCTCCTGAAAGCAGTCGAGTCTTGTAAAAGTAGTGCATCGTGGGAAAGTCCACCATTCTCCAACTCTGTCCAATTCAGGTCACTTCAGAACCTTGCAGCCCACTCCTCCCCCTGGCAGTGCTCCCTCCACGTGGGCCTGGAGTAGGGATGCTGCCCTTCATGCCGTTTCCGTAGGTTCTAAAACACCTGCTTCTACAGCAGCAAAAAGAGAAGTTCGTGAAGCCAAAATGGTATTTTTCATGAGACTAGAATTGAAAGTTTAGGAAATTATATTTGCTTCAGATTAGGTTAGGGCTGAAGAATGAAAAATACGTTTGTAATAAGGTTTGTTTTACAAAACTGTCTCTCCATAAATAACATTGACTGTCCCTGCCTAACTTTAGTTTTTCAGGGGACCTTTTGTTTTGGGGGCTTCCCCCCCCCGGCCCCGTAAGCAGCAGCAGGAAATAGTAGTGGGCGGCAGCGAGCGCATTGCAGTGAATGGATCTGCAGGCGCGGCCCGCGGCCCCATCTACCCACCAGATCAAGGCCCTTGGCCACCCTTGCTCAAACCCCGGATTCTGCAGAGCAGGGCCCAGGGCCCAGGGCTGTGGAAACTGCCAAGTGAGCCAGAGAGCCTGCAGCCAGGGGAGCACTGGGCTCCATGCATTGTAACAGATGGGAAAGTGTGCCCTCTGCTACAAGTGTTTGTGACCCAGAATCGGCAACTTTAGGAAGCGTTGATTCTCTTAGTAGGCTTTGTGGAGTCTTGACAGTTTAGGCTGTGACATAAAGTCGTATCTTTCTGTTTCTGTCGAAGAGAGAGAACTACAATGGCTTCTTTAAAAAGAGAAAGTTAAACATTTTCTTTTTCATAGAGGGAGTTAAATACTTAAGCCTGTATCCTTAATTATTTTCTTTCCTCAAAGAAATGAAAAAAACTTAACAGCTTTCTTATTTGTAAAAACAGGCTTACTCAGTTCAAAATTCAAAAACTCACTTCTATCCTTAAAACCCAGGAAGTTGCTCAGTCTCTTAGCAAGGGGTTAGTCACTCCTGCCTGTTCCATTCTCAGGCTGTGCCCACTGAAGCTTGTGTTCCTGGGCTGTCTTGCCTGCCAGAGCAACCTTCCCCACGGTCCTTGCATGCGTGCTGCTCAGGTGCAAAAGACATGGGCTTGGTATTCTAGGGGCCGAGTCTAAGAACTAACTCATGGTTTACCGTTGACACCTTCACCAAGTAAGCCTTTGTGACAGGATGTGACTAGAGTGAAGAAGATGGAAATCTGAAGGTGCAGAGCCGAAGTGGGGTGCTCAGTTAGCACTGTGACCACGTCTGGCTGAGTCCACTGTCACCCGAGGTTCGCGTCCCACACTGCAGATGTTTTCCCAGCACCCTCGAATCCTCCTCCTGCCTCCGTCTCCCACGTTGCGTCTCAGGTCTCCTGAAACGCCTCTTCTGCTGCTTCCCAGGGTTCCCTCCCCTAACAAGAATGTAATTACTTGCAAGGATGGCTGAGCCGGAAGCTGCGTGTTGGCTTTGCTCACGGTTAAATGATTCAAGTAGCTTTTTCCAGGTGGTCTTGGTGGTCAGCCCGGAGCTTTAAAAGAAAGTAACGAGTCCACAGCTTCATTTTACAGAATTTGTATTTGTTGCTATTTGTTGGGTAAAGTCTTTTATCAAAAAAAGTAGTTTCAACTGCTGCAGCGACGGGCGTGGCTCTGCCCTCCCCCAACCCCTCCTCACCACCCCCCACAGCCCGGCCCCCAAGGCCTGGTTGTAGAATGGGATTTGCTGTTCCTGTGTGTGATTGACCCAGTTCAGCTACTAATGAGCACAACAACAATATGAATGTGTTTGAGGACTGTCCTTAATTAGCACTTGCCATACACAAGGTATTGTGTAAACATTCTCATTGTTAGCTGATTTAGTCCTCATAACCACAGTTGGAAGTAAGAAGTTAATAGCCCATTGTAAAGAGGGGGAATTGGAGCTTGGACAGGGGAACAAGCTGCCAGGGTGGGTGCGGAGAGGAATGTGAACCATGCTTCTCGTGAGTGTGCCAGCCTGCCCTTGACACAGAGCTCACATCTGTCCATCAGCCTCTAAGTAGATTTTGATAAATTTGTGCTGCTGTCCTGGATTTGCTGCAGGACACTGTCTTGCCACATAAACTATGCTGCTCTCAGGCAGCTGTGGTGGCTATCAATACACCAGATGTTGTGTCCGTCTCAGGCTATTGTTCCTCAGGTCTGTGGTCCCTTGTTTTCTTTTCTTTTTTTTTTCTTTTGGTGAGAAAGATCGGACCTGAGCTAACATCTGTGCCCATATTCCTCTATTTTGTTTGTGGGATGCCACCACAGCATGGCTTGATGAGTGGCATGTAGGTCTGAGCCTGGGCTGCTGAAGCAGAGCACACGAACCTAACCACTATGCCGCTGGGCCTGTGGTCACTTGTGTTCTTGCGTGGATGCCAGACCTCATTAGGCTCCCCTGGGCTCCAGGGCTCCGTTTTCTCCGAGTTTATTGGTCCCTCTGAGCCCACCGTACTCCCAGGTGTGGGGCGAGGGCTCGCCACTTTCTCTAGTTGAGGTTTGTTTGGTGTCTTCCTCTGGCTCATACTGGACGGTTCGTAATGCTTTCATGTTACCAAGTTTTACGAGTCTGTGTCCCGGGGAGGAGTTAGCACACCCGGGCTCCCAGGTGCCGCCCGCCTCTCAGTGCTGCTTACACACCTGGTTACCGGAGACGGTCTGTGGTTTTGTGGGTGATAGCTCTTCAGTTCAGTTTCTTCATCTTAAAGCACAGTTGCCTAAATGGGGGAAATAAGTGGAAAGAGACTGGGTTCCAGGGTAGGAAATGTTCACTGAGGTCCCTCTTCTGCCCTCCAGGAGCTTTGCGACCTCGGGAAAGTCATTTGATCTTCTCTCTGCTCGCTCTTCAGTGAAACACCCATCCTGTGTTGAGAATTTACCAGGCGGCACCTGCAGAGCAGCACGAATGCAGGACCCGCCTCAGGGTTTCTGTGAGGGTCCCGTGAGGAAGCATTGAGAAAGGGTTTCCAGACAATTTAAGGCAGAGTTGTTACTCAGCATTGGGAAGTGTGACCTCTTTCAAATATCTGTCTCCCCAAACTGCCGGTAGGGGAAGTTATGATGGAGAAACCAGACGTGAATAAAGGTTTATGGCAGAAACCTCCCCTTCTCAGATAAGCAGACTGATTTTTGCACCAAAGAGTGCACGTCCCTACGTTGCAGTCAGTGAGAGCCTTTTGGAGCACCCGTCCCCCGTCGGCATCACTGTGCTGCATAAATCCAAGCGTGTCCTTTCTCTGGACGCTGGTGCAGCCGCGCCCAGCAGCAGCCCCCACTTACAGAGCAGCTTCTATGTCGGGCTGGAGAGAGGGGGCCCTGCTTTTCTAGGTGGCCCGTCTGGCTCCTGGCCCGGGTTGAGGAGGTCCCAGTGGGTTGGCAGAGCTTGTCTTCTGCCCCAGTGTGTTCCACAGGCCTTGTCTCCATCACCTGACCCCGTCAAAGGAAGTTTTCATCTTTCACCTTTTAGGGTCCACTTAATTGCTGATTAAATGTGTACGCATCTCTGGTGCTGATTTTCTCGCTCTTTTTCTCTCTCTACACATAGGGAGTTCCTGAAAAGCCGCATAGTGATTGAGTCTTCAGACCCACCGATTCTGAAGAGTGACAAGATTTGGGAAGAAACTCTGTGATATTGGATTGTGACAAAGATTATTTTTTTTCCTCAGTAATCTATTTAGATTGGGCTGACTGTACAAGTGACACCCGGAAAAAAAATTCACGTGTTTTAGAAGAGCCAAGGGAAAGAGTGACTGCTTATCCTGACCGTTACCCCGCTCAACTGCACCGTGCCTGCGTCTGCTCTGGAGACACGGGCCCCAGGCGGCAGAGCTCAGGCAGGGGCCAGTTTCCCGAGTATTCAATTTCATTTATGTAATTAAAGCAAGTTGCCATATTTCAAAGCCTTGAACTAAAGCCTAATTACCAGCTCTTGGTTTTGTATCAGTGCCCACAGGGGATAGGTTGATGGTGCTTAACAAAGATGAAGTGTGGTAAAATAGGAAGAATATTTATCCAAAACATTTTTAAAAATAGGGTTGTGTGAAAGAAAAGCAGCAGCCGTGGTGGGAGCATGAGGAGGCCGTGCTCACGCGGGTGCAGCACCAAGGTGCTTCACACTCACGCGGCTACACGCGCGTCTCCTGGTGCACAACTGCGCTCTTCACTCCTCCCGGGGGATTTTGTGTAGACAATCTTACTGACGGCAAAGGCAATGAAAAGTCATAGTGCTGTGCTGTGGTGTATTGGCATTTTCACCTCAGTATTTATGAAGTTTTACCCAGATCCATAATCATCTAAGAGTGGCTACCTGTCTGCCGTGTTTCAGTCTTAGTGAGCCAAACTGTGTGTCATTCCTTTGATACTCCAAAGAAGAGAGATGACTTTTTTTTCCACAGCCCTATGGAATTTGCAATCTGTGATTGCCTTGTAAAAAGATGAGTGCGTATGTCACTACACTAAACATTTGGTGTTTCTAAATACTCAAAGATATTGGTGAGCACAATGTAGTCATTTAATGGCATAGACCATACTGGACCTAATTTGCAAGTATTGGGTCTTAAACTTCAAGTGCAATGTATATGAAAACCAATCTGAGCCTTGTATTCTCTTAAATATTTATTTTTTTTTAACGTATGAGATGTTAAGAGAGGGTTACCATTCATTTCAGCGCTGCATGGAGGAGGCGAAAGTCAGCAATAATTTCCTTCTGTTGTGAAGTTACTTTGTTGTCATGCCCTCCACTGAGCCCTGGTCCTTTGAAATACTCCAGTTTTGTGGGTTTAGTAAACTTGTAATTTTTACTTACAAATTTACCTTTTTGTATTTTGCAATTTAAATATTTTTGGTTTGTTTTAAATTCTGTGAAAGTGTCTTGACGAAAAGACTCCTTTGATTCCCAGTCGGCCGCTGGCGGGACAGGACCTTGGACTGAGTGGCCTGCGGCTGTTGACGTGCACTCGCCTGCGTCCCTGTGATGATCCTCGTTGCGGTGGTTTTATTTTGTTTTGAGGAAAATATCTTGGAGTAAATTTTAGGTTACTGTAACTAATTTGTTTTAGAGGAGTTTTGTTCAAAAGAAAATGGGATCATTCTGAATTTTGCAATGATCCTTTACACATTTTCTGAAAATGAAAACAAATGACTAGCTTTGTGAAAAGATTTTTCAATGAAGATGTCAGCATTTTATGAAAAGCCAGAAGTTATTAGATGAAAGCAGTAATTGAATCTTTAAAATATACTTGATCATGCACAAACAATAAGTATTTTTTCTCTTAAACTGGAAGTAAATCTGTATCTGTTAGAAGTAATGTAGCCAAAAAATGTGAATCTGAAGAATTTTTTTGCCAATACTTTATAGCAAGTACATGAACCAAAGTGATTCGAGTTTGTAAAAATGTAAAATAGTATGAACAAATTTGCACTATACCAGATTTGAACATGTAGTGAGATTCACATTCATACCAAGTTTTCAACATTGTGTTCTTTTTGCATTCATTTTTTTACTTTTATTAAAGGTTCAAAACCAACCATTGAATTTATGGGTTTTTATTTTTTAAAATGGGGGCTTCTCTATGTAGGATGTTAGAATTTGGAATGGAAAAATATTTTATAGCTTTTCAAATTTTACTGCATTTCAATACAACCTCTTGGGAAAATATCACTTGAGTATATTTTTTCCTTATAGTGGCAAATGAAGCGTAGGAGAAGCCACGTTTAACCTCCCACCCTTCCCTCCCCACTGACACTGGGAGGGAGCTGTCGCTGTGTCTTCCCGGGAATGCGGTCCTCTGTCTTGGAGTGAGGTAGCTCCCCTTCTCTCCGGTCTAAGATAAGCGGGAGCCTTGCTCCCTGCAAACAGAGCCCAGGAGAAGGGTAGAGCATCCTGGCCATGTCACAACCAGCCTGGGGGAGGGGCCCCGAGTAACAGAAAGCATAGCTGAGGGGCCCAGAGTAACAGCCGGCCTGAGGGAGGGGCCCAGAGTAACAGCCGGCCCTGGGGGAGGGGCCCCGAGTAACAGCCGGCCTGGGGGAGGGGCCCCGAGTAACAGCCGGCCCGGGGGA